ATAAATTTTTGAAACTTAGGGAGCAATCTGCCTAGTAGTAGTTTGTCTAGAGCTATCTATACTAAATCGGGTATAACGCTTCGTACACTAATTCAATGACCAAGAAATTTTAAAGGGAGTTATTTGAAATATAGATGAACAACTTTTATTCTTTAAGTTTCACCCAGAAATCGACCTAAAATCCTTGAACATGTACCCTAAAATTCGGATAGAATTTACTCCTTATCAACACTAATTTATTAGTTCATTCCAACTCAACTTTAAACATGTTTTAGTTCACTTAAATTTATTCCAAGTTCAATCCAACCCATCACCACATACTTGGACATTTTTCAAAAAATCATAACATCATAAATCATCACAACAAGGCATCCATACGAAGATTTATTCCAAGCATCAAGCATATAACCATTGAAAATTATTACAACCCATAAAATAAACAATAACAAAATAACTTAAAAAAAATAATTTAAGACATTAATCAGCCAAAAAAATGAAACCTACTTACCTCTTTTAGGTTTGATTAGAATTTCCTTAGCTCTTTTTCTTTCCTTTTTCCCTTTCGCTTTCTCTTTTTTTCTTTCTCTCTTTTTGCTGTTTTTCTCTCTTCAATTTGGCTTCTCTTTTAATTATGGATGGCTATGGTTTTGGCCTAAAAATGGCAGCCATTTTACCCTCTCTTTCCCTTATATACTCACCTTTTATCCTCTCATTTATTTATATTATAAGTGTTAAAATTTAACTAGGCCAAATGTAAAGTGGAGGAAGCTTGGAAGGCAAAGCTGGCATGTTTTGGAAGTCAAAGGTGATGATTTGGCTTCTAAGCATTTAATTCAAGTGCTTAGGTGGCTAAAGAAAACTTAGGATAAATAAAAACATTAATAAGCTGGGTTAATGTAATTAGACAAAATTTCTTTCATAAAAAATTTTGGAAATTTCCATTTTTAAAATTCGGAATTTCTTTTTCTTCAAAATTTCAGCAGTGTTACCTCCTAACCCATCTATACTAAAATGTGCATAACTCTTTTTATATGTATCCAAAATTTATGAAATTTTATATAGAGCTAGTACACACATAGAAAAACAAAGTTTATTCTTTATGTTTTTCTAAAAAATCAATCTAACAGCATCAAATAAATCTCACAAGATTCGGGCAGATTCTTCTCTCAAAATTCTAGCAGAATGCATTTCGAAACAACCCTCACTATAATTGGTATAACTCTTAATGTATAGGTCCAAATATTATAAAATTTTATACAGGCCTATTAAAAACATAGATGAACAACTTTCATTCTTTAAGGTTGACCCAAAAATTACTCTAACGTCCTCAAATAATTCACACAAAACTCGGGCAGAATATAGTCCTTAAAACATTGATTTTGCATATTTGATTTCTTTAATAATTAAACCATTAATCTTAAGCACAATAACTTTAATTTAACATAAATAACATATTTCAAGCTTTAATTTCTCATGATGAAATGAGAATTATAATTACTCTTAATATACATATATATAGAATTATTCTAATACACGTCGCGTTAGGGATAAGGGTTTTTACGGGGGTTACAACTTATATACGTGTTGGCTCCTCTTTTTTTTTTTTTACCTAGTATTTAGGGAAGAAAGTCATTAAGGGTTCCATAATTAGGCCAATCCAAGTGTTGAGGGGTGTCTCCCTACTTTGTTTTGTAAAGTAACTTTGTCTATGGAAGGAGTTGTTTGGCGATGTTGTTTCGTAAGGAGAGAAAAGAGAGGAGGCCCTCCTATTTTCTTGAGGAGACCTCTCTCGTTTCGTTCGACATAAGGCCTTGGGCTGGTAGTTCTTTGGCTAGGGAGATAGAAGAGGCTATGTAGTTGAGCCTCTCTAAAAGTGCATGTTTATTTTTACTTTACTTTTTAGTTTCTTTCTTTACGAGTGGTGCTTACTTGTTGTTTTTTCACGGTCTTTCTAGCCGCAATCTCACCTCTTCATAAGTGGAGGATTAAGGATAAAGAGAAATTTGAGATGGTAGGACTCTTCTAATGTCTTTGTACCACTATATTAGAGAAAGATATGGAGCTATAATCTCTCCAAAAAGAAATGAAAGAAAGGTTAGAGGATATGGAAAAGGCTATAGCACACGCCTTTATTAAAAAGAAAGACAATTTTGGTTCGAGAGTCTCGAGTCACTTAAAGGTTGGTGGCAATAACTACAACAAGAGATGTCGCTCTAGAAAGGATGGCTCAACTAGTGTCACCTATAATAGTCTTATGACTTCTATGATAAATCCAGTCGATTCTTCCTACTCATAGACGAGTCCCTAATGACAAAAGAATCATCTTTGCTTCAAAAGTTAATGACCCATCAATACAAAGGCCTTTTATTTCATCATAAGACAGGATCCAATTGCCTAAGAGTTATTGCCACATTATAGCATTGAGGTTTCTTTAGCTGGCGTTTAAGATATATGATTACATAGTATTTTTCCTATAATCGTTTGGTAGTTAGGATTTTAGGCCTTTTTATGTATCATTGGTATACTTGACGAAATTCTAGAGACTTTGTTTATCGGTGCTTCCCATTTTCCTTATTTCCTTTCTTTCTTTCTCTCTATTTGTTTTTTTGACATTTTTTTGTATGTTAATGAGTTGATGAGTGCATAATTAGTATGATTTTTATGCTCTATTATATTGAATTTTTTAGTGTTTATTGTATTATATTAGGTTAATTAAGAAGCAAGATGATGATTTTGGATTTTGTAGAAAAAACGACGAATTGAAGCTAAGAAACTCAAAACCAAAGCAAGGAAGAGAGAAGGCACTAAAGAGGCCGAGAAGAGTTACACAACCATATCAAATTACAAAGGAAACAACTATTGACCATGTGATATTAAGGAAGAAACCGTGTGGATTGCTCGACTAAAAAGTCCATACGAGTAGTAGCATTCCACATGACCGGAGGAAGAAAACCCACACGATCGTATGGGTGTCAAGTTGGATGGTCTTCCAAGAGAAAATAAGATGCAACACAAGTAGTACGCATTCCACATGATTTGTCGTGAAGAGTCACACGCTCGTGTCTCACAAGTGAAGACGTCTACACGGGTTACTATTTGTATATAAAAACTATGTTTTTTTTCCGATTATATCGTTAGTTATAAGATTCGATTAAAGAACAATTTTGATTAAATCTTTAATTAAAGAAAGATTTCAATTTTTTTTATTACATCTTTTATTCCAATTTTTTTATTTCCCTAACGATTAAGTCATTATGCATGTCGTCTTCCTTCATTTTTAATAATTAAGCTATAACAATTACTTCGATATTTATACTCAAACTAACCATAAATCAAATTAATTACTTTAAATTAATCTAACAAAATTACATTAATCCAAATTTAAATAATAAATAAATTTAAAAATAACAAAAAATGAATTAAAAAAAATTTAACTAAAGTAACTAAAACATTAACAATTCAAATGAAAAACAACATAACAAATTACCAATAAATTAAAAAAATTTTAACCAACCAATTAATTAAAAATAACTTCAGAAATAATCAACAAAATTTAACTAAATTACCTAAAAAATTATATAATTAAAAATTAACTTAAAACAAATAAACTAACAAATTTCAACTAATAATTAATACAAATAAATAATTAACTAATCAAAAAATTTAAAATAACATTAAATAACTAAATTTTAACCTAACAATAAATAACAAATAAATTAACAATTAATCAACCTTAACTAAATTACATAAAAAATTACGTAAATAAAATTTAACCTAAAAATTAACATAATTAAAATTTGTTAGGTTAAAATTAATATAAAATTTAACCTAAAAACTAACACAATTAGAAAGTAACAATTAACAAAATTAATCTAATAATTAGCAAAATTAAATAAATAATTAACAATTTTACACTAATAATGAACATACAAATTAACATAATTAAAAATTAACCTAACAATAAAATTTAACAACATTCAAACAATTATTAAAAAATTAAACCGATAAATAACAAAATTAAACAAATAATTAATCAACTAACAAATAAAAAAAATTAACATAAAAACTTATAACATTAATTTAATTAAGAAAACAAAAGAGTTAGAGAGAGAAACAATTACCAAAGAAATCAACGAGAGAGAACAGAGATTACGTCGGAGTTTGAGGGAGAAAGATGCGCCTCATCGAGTTAAATGGTTTGGGGAGGTAGTTGCTAGCGTAGGGCGATGTGGGTAGGCCATTTAGGGGTGGCGGCTTGGTTTTGTGGAGGAGAGGGAAAGTCCGAATGAAGAAGAAGAAGAGATATTGCCTAATTATAGGGTTTTTTAGCGATGGATGCATTTTCATCACTAATTAGCGATGGAAATAAGTGTTCGTGGCTACTTTGAATTCCAAAAGGGCGTCGAAGTCTTTGGATTTTTTGGAAAATTGCCAAATTAGTGACGAAAATGTTTTCATTGCTAATTTGAATTTCAAATTCAACCAATGTGATCGCCGAAGGTTTTTTACTTAGCGATGGAAACTATCCGTCGCAATTTACTAATTGATAGCGACGGAATATCTCGTTGTCATTAAATCAATGATGGAAATTCGCTGCTATTTCGTCATCGAATGTGGTGTTTTTTTTATCGCGTTATTTAGCGACATTTTTAGTTCCATCGTTGAATTTTCCTTGCTATTCCGTCGCTATTTACTCGTAAAAATCTTTTTTTCTATTCCGTCGTTGATTTGCCTCAAATTAGAGATGAAATATTATCCGTTGCTAATATCCATTGCTAATTGTCAATTTTCTTGTAGTGATTATATAAATAGAAAGTGGGTGCATAATTGGGAAAATAAATGTTTTCCTTAACCTGCGGCATGCAGTTTCCTGGAAGCTACTAAGTTTCCTTTTCAAAAAACGAACTCTATATGAATTCAAAGTATAGCACCTATACGATCAGATTGCTTGACAATTTTCAGCACCTAACTGAGTTAATAGTGATATGTTTTTGGTTAAAATGGAGAACACGAATGTTGTAGAAGAGGAAATAACACTAGAAAAAGAAGAAGGAAAAGAAGTCTATCTTGAAGAAAAAGATGTGGGAAATGGAAGAAACCTTGTAAGGAATGGTTTATTTGATTTGGAAGCTGGTCGAGATAGCAGATTAAATAATACTCGTCAGGTATGTATATTTTCCTTCTTTCTTTTTTATTTATAAAAAAAATGGATTCCACATTATTTTTTTTAGCGTAGAAATTGAATCCGATATATATAGTTGTTGAGAATATTTGAGTTTTTTTATATTAAGTTTTTTTTCCCTCTTGTTATTATGTGTTGTTGCTTTCAAGTAGTTCCTTTAAACAATAGCCTTTATTTATTTCATTTTTTTTCATGGCCGGTTCTTGTGTGTGTGTATATATATATATATATTCTTTTTTGGATTGTTGTTACCATTTTCTGTTCATCGAAATTAAAGTTAGATTTAATGTGATGCGGTCATAAGTAGAATTGATTAAAGTGCAGACAGCAGATTGGGGTACCATTGCAAAGCTTGCATTTCAATGCATTGGTGTTGTGTATGGTGATTTGGGCACATCTCCATTGTATGTGTTACCTGGAATTTTTCCGAATGGCGTCAAGCACGATGGCGATCTCCTTGGCGTACTGTCTTTGATTATCGACTCCCTTGTTTTCAATGCATTGGTGTTCTGAAGCTTTGTTCGCTGATCTGGGGCACTTCAATATTCACTCAATTCAGATAAGCACCTGTATTCTAGTCCTGCCTTCAGTCTTACTCGCCCATTTGGGCCAGTGTTCTTATCTTCGCAAACATATGGAGGATGTTACTAATGCCTTTTATAGCTCAGTCCCCAGTAAGTGTATTGGTCAACATACTTGCTTCATACTTCATAGTTTCTCGTTTTGTTTTTGTAGTTTGTAGTTTGTGCTCATTATTTGAGTTTTCGTGACACAGAATCACTGTATTATTGGCCACAATTTATACTAGCAGTATTGGGAACAATTATTGCTAGTCAGTCACTAATATCAGCTTCTTTCTCCATCATCCAACAAGCTGTAGCACTTAACTGTTTCCCTCGGGTTAAAGAGGTGCATACATCTACAAAATATGAGGGGCAGGTTTATGTTCCTGAGATCAACACTCTGCTTATGCTGGCCTGTGTAGGGGTCACCCTTAGTTTCAAAAATACGTTGCACATTTCCAATGCCTATGGTAATTAATACTTTGATATTTATTATGACAGTTTTACATTTTGGAATGTCAAGTAGTCTAGGTAGTATTTCTACATCGAAGATAATTTTGATTTCATGTGTACCAAAGACTGACATTTAACGTCTTGGTTTGATGCACTAAACAATATTGATAACATCATACACAGATTCATGTTGGATAACTATAACTTACTCAAGCCTGGATCAGAATCTAATGCACACGCATTTCCTAACGATGTTAATTTTTTTGTCGATGTTCTTCTTACAAGACTTGCTGTTGCATTTGTTTTTATAATTACATCCGCATTTATGGTTCTTGTGATGGTGATGATATGGAAGACGCACGTCATTTTCATCATCCTCTATGTCTTGACCACTGGTCTTCTCGAACTCTCATTTGTGAGCTCGGCGCTATACAAGTTTGTTGATGGAGGTTACCTTCCTTTATTATTTGCCCTCGTTATGGTGGCTATCATGTCTGTTTGGAGCTATGGCTCCCCGGAAAAAGTACATGTACGAGCTGGAAAATAAAGTTTAAATCGAAAGATTCGTGGAGATATCCTCCGACCCTAAGATTCATCGAGTCCAAGGTCTTGGTTTATTCTACACTAACTTGTTCAGGGAATATCTCCTATATTCACTCGCTATGTTTCAAGTGTCCCAGCTTTGCAATCGGTCCTCGTATTTGTTTCGATAAAGTCGCTGCCTATTAGCAGAGTCCCTGTGGAAGAACGAATCTTGTTTCGGAGAGTAAGGTCTCACCAGCTGGTTTTTCAGTGCATTGTGAGATACGGATATAAAGATGCAACAAAAGATCATAATTTATTCGACGAGATGTTGGTGAATCAGTTGAAAGAGTTTACAGAGGAAGATAATAATGGAGAAGACTTGAGAGGAAGAGAGCTAGCGTTGGTTGATAATGCACTAAAGGATGGTGTTGTTTATCTAATGGGTGAGGGGGAGGCAATGGTTGGTGATGGCTGTTAATTCGTATGATTTTGCCCCCCCCCCTAAATTGGTTACTTTACACTGATGCTGTTAATTTGAACGGAGCAAATTATAAATTAATCTCTTTAGTTTAAAAAAACAAATTCATTACTTTCTTTAAGAAAAAAACTAATTATTTAATCTGTATATTGTTAAATTTTCTTGTAACTTAAAATTTTTTTATTTTTTTAAAGAAATAAAAAATATGAAAGGATTAGTGATAAAAAAAACAATATTTTTTTCAAATAAATCAATATTAAATTAAACATGATCAATACTAATTAAAAAAAACCTAAATAATTCATTTTTGAAATTAGATGAACTGATCAATTTATTTCTAAAAAAACAAAAAAGAACTAACTTATAGTTTATTCTAATTGGAACTTATAACATTACTTTTGTTTTATTTTTATTTTTCTTTCCTGTGAATTTGAATCCGCAGTGCTTCCATATTTTTTTAGCTTGAGAATTGGACGAATAAAGCTGCACCACATGAAGAAAAAATTAACGAAATTAACACGAACAAGAGATGAAAATCAAATGATCTACAATAGTTTTTTGAAAAAAACTATAGCAGCTCCCATTCCATTGTCTCTGTCGTGATTATTTCGTTGAAGTTTTTTCGCGCTTCATAGTTCATACCATTACTGAATCTTGAGAACACCTTAAATACATATAAAAACCGGAAGGAAATTCGAAACACCAACTTAGTTATTGGATTTAATCGTATGGTTAATTTCTATACTCTCTAAATCTTTTCTTTTCATTTTCTTTTTTCTCCACTCTTCAAACTTTCTTTATTTAGTCATTTGTAGATTGACATGTAAAAGATAAAACTGACTAGCTCAGATCTATAAACGTGACAAACTATGCTATTAATCCCATGCTCATTTAACTTGGAAGCAGCTCTCATCAGGAGCAGAAAAGAATCACTTTTGACTTCGGCCTATCAACAGTAGAGGACTTTGAAGATAAACAAAATGGACTAGCTCTATGCCAAGTTCAGATCATAAAACTGTGTTTTAAATTCCAAGTTTTCCTATAAAAAGATGAACATATGCATGTATAGGAGTATACCCAAGTAGGAAAACACAAATAATTTTTTGTTTTTTTTGGATATGATCCATTTCGTTTAATTTTAACTCCATTTTATTTCACATTTATAATCCAAATAACAAAATAAAAAACCATTGCGATATGGAACAAAATTAAAGCATGGATAATATAAAACGATCCGACAATATCCAAGAGCAACTCAAAATCGTGAAAGGAACCAATTGAAAAGCCTAACCTAGGCGGTAAGCACAACAGCTCCACCAGCCTCTTTAATTTTCTTTTCAGCAATCTTGGACACAAGCTTGGCCTTGACAACAATTGGTTGCTTCTCTGGCAAAACACCCTTCCCAAGAATCTTAAAGTAACCGAACTGAGTGACATCAATCATGGGTACAGTATCCTTGGTAGCCTTGTCTTTAACATCTTGGGGGACCATGGACCAGAGCTTGTCGATGTTGACGATGGGACAGTAGAACTTGTTGCGGAGCTTGTGGAAATAACGCATGCCGACTTTACCAAAGTAACCGGGATGGTATTTGTCGAAGAGAATCCTGTGGTGGTGCATACCTCCGGCATTACCACGACCTCCCGGGTGCTTCCTGTGCTTGCCAATTCGCCCATGGCCTGCACTAACGTGCCCTCTCTTCTTGCGGTTCTTCTTGAAGCGGGTTGTCATATTTTTAGAGGGATGGGGATCGTTCTTGAGGGTTTGAGCGGCGGAAAAGGGATCCTTCAAAGGGAGAGAGAGCTGTTTAGGGTTTCGAAGATATATAGTTGCGATAGAAGATGGGTAGGTAGGGTTTCAGTAAATGGGCTTTGGACAAATTCGACCTAATTCACTCGTTTACTGCTGCAATAGGTTCGATTTTCCTTTTTTGGCCCTTTATGCTCATTTGAGAATATATATATATATATATATAATCACTAAATTCAATAAATATGATATTTGCATTTTTATGCATATGAAATAAAACTACGCAAGATTAATAGGTTATTGGTCACACAAATTATTCTCTCCTACTCTACTTTGTATATGTGTATTTAAGAAATCACTAAAGGAAGAGGAGGGGCAGATTTGGTTTCAATCAATGTAAAAACATCAATGGAAAATGTAAATGGAAGTGAAATAATTTAATATAAAATTGAAAATGGAATATATTTGATAGAAAAAAGAAAAATTCCAGAAGGTAGGGGAGAAGAGAAAAGGATTGTGTGATCCAAGAAAAAAAAAAAAATTCTTAAAACAATCTTGTAGGAATGTTTACTGCACAATAGAAAAACCAATGCAGATTTAAGTTCACATTGGCCGTTTGCATATTTTAAACAACCCAGGCCCAGTATATTTATTCTTGCAGGAATCCATATCTATTTTTTCTTCTCTTTTTTTCCCTCTCAAAATTCGAGTAAAAACGTGTGATTTAGCCATTTATTATGTTTAAAAAACCATTATTCCTTTGATATTTATGTGTATTTTTAATTTTAAAATGATAATCCAATGGCTAAAATCTATATGTTTTGGTATAAAAACTTAATTATAGCAGTTATGCCCATTATTTATCAAGTGATGATTATAAATGTAGAAGAGAATGACTAGTATCATTTCTATGGTTGACATGATAGATCATTTTCTTAAATTTATTTATTTATATATATTTTTTGAATAACAGATAAAAAAAATATAAGTTTATAATCGGTACTTAATCTTTTTAGTTTATCAAAATTATTAATTAATTCATGTAGTATTAAAAATAAATAATAATTTTTTGATTGGTATTCACCTTGATTAATTTAGTTGTAGCCCCCCCCCCCCCCCCCCCCAAAAAAAAAAAAAAGCCTACAAATATAACAAAAAAAAATGAAAAAAAAATGGAAATTGACGAAAATGGGCTAAGATACAATGGATTATATATATTATTGGAAATTGATAAAATAATGGGTAAAAGGATCTAAGACTCCCTAAACTATAAATCATTTGAAATTGAGTTCTAAAAGTTTTTTATCGGTTCCGAGAGTCCATGAACTTTGTAAGTTTTGAAATTAAGTCCATTCGTTTTTTTTTTCCATTAGAGATAATAGAAAATGTGTATATGAAAGTGGAAAACACATGTGGCATACTTAATCTAATTAGAGGATGCCGATGATTTAAATTTTTTGTTCAATTAAATCCTAACCTATTGTAACTAAAGATTAATTGAGACTAAAAGGGTTAAGTAATAGTACATTTTCACATTTAGCCAAAAGTAATTCACCCACCCACGAACGAACAAACTTTTCTCTCTTAAACATCACGATATGTGAAGTGTCAATCAATTTCTTCATCCATTTTTCATCTTTCGGCTAGTAATTTGTCATGCTTTCTCTATCTTCATCTCAAAACTCTTTCATTCCCTTTTACATCTCTTTTAATTTGCTATCTCGTTGTCGATCTCACCATCAACTAATATTGATAGAAATCAAGAATTTAACTTCTAAGGTTAGTGACATGGTTAATTACAAAATTGATTTTGTGTTTGGGTTGTGGGGTTCATTTTGGTATTGGATACCGAAAACTTATTTCAAAAGGTTAATTTTTGGTTTATTGTTATGTCGGGTTGTGGGGTTCATTTAGGGTATGGGTCATCGTTGATTTGAAAAAGATTCTTTTTTTTTTTAAATTAATGTTTTAGGTCATTTTATGCCATGTTGTTGAGTTTATTCGCGTTTAGGTTAGTGATAAGGATTTTTTTGGGTTGTGAGATTTATACGGGGTAGTTAACTTTTGGCTTTTTTTAATTAAATTATGGGTTGATGTTGCATTAAGGGTATTTAAATATTGATTAGAGTTTTTAATATTTGAGCTTTGTTGTATCCTATAAATAGTGATCTTTTATGTTTCATCATATATAAAATGTTGATTAACTTGAGGATTTATTATAGGAGTACTTGGATTTATGTTCTTATTCTTGGGTATTTAAATAGTGAAATGGTGGAGCAACAAGTAAACTCTAACTACCTATCTTTGGTTAGTTTGAAACCGTGGTTGAAAAGTAAAGTTATCACAATGTGATTAGGTCTCTATACAAACTTAGGCATCAAGTCTTCGAGAATAGAGTTAGGGTTATGAAGGATGAGAAACACTTGATGAAAATTATAGCCGACATGAAGAAATTTAAGAAAGACATTTTTTATTTTTACGTTGACCATGATATAGATATACTTGTGCTTAATCTTGATTTTGAGTCCGGTGGGAATCATGATAAATCTATTAAAACTTCGATGGTGTAGCTAAATATGAATTTGATGCATCGAATATTAATTTGGTATAGTTGAAGATAATGAGGAGCATTTAAGTGATTTTGGGGATAGTGAGGATGATGAGGATAAAAGTGAAGATATCTTTAGGAATTTAGGTGAGAGATGTCAAGTTAAATATGTTAATGTAGATGCAACGAGTGAGAGAATGGTGTGCAAATGAGGGAAAAAAGTTACATAGTGCAAACATTTTTTAAGGGTGTGATATGAAGAAAAAAAATCTAAATTTTGATTGTGGGGACAATGTTGAACTACACATTGTTGATTCTTCCGATGAATAAGATGCTAAAAGAAAGAAGAAGAAGAAAAGATATCCAAAATTTGAAGAGAATGATAATTTCGGACCAAAAAGCTTATAACCCGGTGGTAGTAGTCTCTTACAACAAAAGGTCACGAGTTCAAATCCTAATCGACTAGTTTTGCTAGGAGCCTTGAGTGTGTGAGTAAAAATAATAATAATAATCTCGGAGGCAAGATTGTATTAAAATTAGGAATGATATTTATCGTTACAAGGTGCTTAGGATGGCTTGAAATCATACCCGAGTTTAGATTGGGTATGACTTCAAATATTTGAAGAATGATATAGATAAGATCACTACCATATGCATAAAGAATTATGATTAGAAAATCCATTCATCACCTACAGTTGATGGCAAATCATGGCATATTAAAAAAAAATTTGACAAACACAACTATGGTAAGACCTTTAAGAATAAAAAACGTGACTATTGAATGGATAGCAAAATAGTACAATCATGATATTAGGGACACACCATACATGAAGCCTACTATTTTTATGAACATGATCTTAAAAGAACATAAGTATAATCTCACTATTGATTTATGCTATAGGGCATTGAGAGTTGGAAGACAAATTATTAAAGGAAAAGATAATGAACAATATGGTTTGTTATGGCACTATCTTTGAAGCAATTAGAAAGTTTAATCCTAAAAACACAATGAAGATGGATACATACAATGAGATATCTAGATTTTATGTATATCTTAATGTTTGTAAAACGATTTTAAGGCTATTTATAGGCCAATATTAGGCATTGATGGCTATCATCCGAAAGGAGTTTTTAAGAGGCAATTCATTGGTAGCCATAGGGAAAGATGCTAATGAAAATATTTTTCCTATAGCTTGGGTAGTTGTTATGTTGAAACAAGAAAAGAATGGTAGTTGTTTCTTGAATTATTAATGGATGATATTGGATTAGTAGAAAATAATGGTTGGTTATTCTTTTCTAATACAATAAAGGTTCCTTTTCTATTTATACTTTCATTAATTTTTTTTAATAATGAATGGTTTGTTTTTTTTTTTAAACTAATATCTATATTATTCTTTTATGTTGTAGGGGTTAACTGAGATCTTTGAGAATGAGTTGAGAGTGATGGACTACAAGTTTTGTGTTAGACACTTCTACACTATAAGAAGTATCTTAGGTTTAGTAAAGCATTGAAGGATCATTTGTAGAATGTTGCTAAAGCTTAGACTCGTTAAAAGTTTGAGCATCACATGAACGAAATTAAAGAGTTAGATGTTGCAGCATATGAGTGATTGATGAAGATACTTATTAAGATATGGTACGATCATGCATTTAGTGAGAAACCAAAGTATGGGTTATTGTTCAACAATATGATATAAACTTTCAACTCTTATATACTTAAAGCCGGAGATAAGACAATTATTACCGTGCATGAAAGTATAAAGAGAATGTCGAAGAGGAGATTTTATAAAAAAAATAAAGTATATACTTTCTTACAAAGAGCATATTTATCTAAATATCCGAATGAAACTTAAAGAAATTGAAGCGAGTATACAATAAGCTACATTGTGATCCCTAGTGCAAATGGAAGATTTGAGCACTCAATATGAAGAGAATGCAGAGAATCTATGACCTTAAGAGGAAATTTTGCATGTATAGGAAATGACGGATAACCGGCATACATTACCATTATGAAATTGTTGCAATATGAAAGAAAGAATTACAATCGAAGATTACATGCATGATTGGTTAAAAAAAAACATTCCTTAAAGCCTATGGAGTACAAATAAAACCCGTTCCAAGACTAGATGATTGGCCTCTTACCTCTATGATCTTGTATAGCCATCCGTCATTAAGAAACAAACAGTAATGGCAAACTAATAATGGTAAGAAGAATAGAAAAAGTCTAAACCCCAACCTCTAAATCCCTACAAGATTAATAGAGAAAGAGTGATAACAACATGTAACAATTATATACAAAAAGAGTATAATGTGAGGAGATGCCCCTTACTAAGAGTTATCAATGACAAAAGAAAACTAAAAAGGATGTAAATATTGAGACATTAAGGATAACAAGATCATCAAATGGGGATACATCGCGACCACTAACACGATCATCAACATTAGGTGAAACTCAATGTAGTATAGTCATATACAAACTTCAACAAGTTAAGTATATAAAGAGAAAGGGAAAAGAACATGTAACTAACCAAGCTTCATAAAAAAAAAAAAAAGTAAGTTGTTATACAAAATTTCAATATGGTTTAATTGTTATTGGGTGGACTAAATTAATTAATTATATTTTTGATAAGTTATTAGATTACCTCAAAGTTTCATGGCATTTGCTAAGGCAAGTTATGGTAGAGGGACCACCATAAGGACCACAACAATTAAATAAAAATAGGTTTAGAAGCCTTGACAAGTGTTTGATGATGCTACATAGTTTTTGGTTGATAATATTTTATATATATCATTGGTTAGGTTGTTGATATATACACACTATGATGGTATTTTGTGTTTACTATTGATTTAGGTCGTTGGATAGATAAATGATGATGATTTTTTGTGTTTATCCTTGATTAGGTCACTTGGATAGATAAATGATGATGGTAGTTTTTTATTTTATCCAATTGTTGGTGGATATATGAATCAAGTTGGTATATTTTGATTAGGATGACTACTAGATAGATAGATGATGATGTAGCTTTAATCTCCTTATAATAAATGAAAATTCAAGCTATATATTTTGATTATAT